GATGTGTTGTATTCACAAAAAATGCTGGTCTGTATCCTTCGCTGTCTGATTGGATCAAATTAAGTGCTCTCGGGCGTTTTTCGATTATCATTTCCAGAAGTACTCCAATCTTTCTTACAGTTTGGTGATCAGATGATTGGCACACCTCAACGACATCCTTCACCGGGCCTTTCTGTCGTTCACTGGACGTTCTCGATGCGCGTATGTACACACGCACAACACATCTGTCATCACATGTAATTCCCATAAACAATGAGCCCCAGAGTATTTGACACCATAGTCCGTTAGTTTCGCTAACTGTGACGTGTCCTCTTTGCAAGCCACTCAATCAACATGATTGATGCACGATGTTCAGATGAGTCAGCCAGCCTCATTGGATTTTACTTGAACAATTCATAGATTGGGAACATCAATTCGGATGGGTTCCTTAACTGGCGCCCCGCCCCTTTCTGATAGCCTAGGACAATGTTAGTCGCTTTACTCCTCTGTCTCTAAGCTTGATCTGGGAATACCTCGAATAATTCGCGTGTTGTGACATACTACACATGCGTGTTAAGGGCTAGCACACAAAATGCATATCTTTGCATATGGTTTTCACGGGACTCCCTCCCCCCCCCCGTCCCTTATTTGATTGTGATTCGTTTTTCGACTTTGGCATAGCTCCACGTAATATTATCATCTTTTCAACCAGGAGGTTCTTCCAACCAAAATACTGATTATCGGAAACAAAAAACTGTTCGCCCTGCTTTGGCAAATTAAGTGAGCTGAAGAGCGACAGTATCATTGTTAGAAATCTACGCACAGGGTCAGGTAGATGGAACTGAAATGTGATTTTTTCCGTACGAACGATAATTGGTGGTCCTCTTGTCCTAAGTTGAGAGTTTGTTTTTCTGACCATAGCTGTGCAGATGTTCTCCCCACTGTCAATGTTCAGTAACCGCTTCAAATGAATGAACTGATGTAACCTGATATCTCCGTTTCATCGTGTTGTCACTCGTGAAAGACTGACACAGCTGTTTGTTAGTGCGGCAAGTTACACGTGGATAAATGAACCTCCATTTAATCGGCCTATATACCCCCATTTGTGCTCCGACTCGGTCTGTATTACGCAAATGGTACCACTTGGTTATGATGTGATTGTTCCGCTCGTTTGATGCTTTGGTTTCGTGCACACGCTCTATGTGTTTTTGCCGCCCATACCCGAGATGATCGGTAAACCAAACGTCTGTCAGTCTTGTCCACTCGACACATTCGGTTGTCGTTCACCCCGAGGTTGAATTCAATGGTTATGCATCTCCGTGGTGGATGAGACGAGAAGATAGTGTCCCTTGTTGGCCGACAAAAGATATTCCAGCTGCCCCAGTTCATGTTACATCACTGACCTAATGTGTGTGTAATGTATGGTCTGTGCAGGCATACACACGCCTGTGAATGCCTTTGTTCATCATGTGTAATCACTACAGCATACACATGTCTGAGCTAAGGTCAGGCTTTCGTCAAATCCCTTCTTGTCACTTGGACGTCCGTTTTGTTTGCTTACCGCCACCCGTAAATATATGCGTATACAACCGGTCTTTTGACCCCAGGTCACGATTGCACACCCTGACAGACGCATCTTTATGCTTTCGTCTCGATTGATATCCACTGTGTGGTTCACAAGGTCGGATGGTTTAGTTAGTGCTCACCACCTTGCCATCATTGTCTTTCGCGTATACGCACATGTACAAATAATGCTGCGAACAAACAAACACGTACATGCTTGAATCTAATTTAATTTTTTTATTGTTGCGATTAATGTTTGTATAAGTATGAATATGAAAATGATATCATCCGACGTTTTGTGTCAGTTTTACAGTTATGTAAGCAGTGTGGTTAAGGTTCGATCACAGATGTGAGTCTCGTACCTTGTGCCCTCTGTTCATTCACTTGCTTATACCTAGGTAACACATAACCGAATGGTTGGTTGCATAGATCTGGGGCAAAAGGAAGACCTAAGAAGTTTACAAGGCGGGATGGATTTGCTATCTGTCAGCTGTCTTTCCTTTCTCTCTCTCGCTCTATCTCTCTTAGCTTCATATTCCAACGTCACTGACACATGCTGTCAGAATGCGCGCTCGCGCGCGCAAAGCAAACCATGTCTCAATTCTTGAAGCACATCCACTTGCCAAAGCCTGTGCCGTTTTCTTCGGCCGTAAGAGAAGTTAGGAAGGTGGTGGGTGATTGTGTTCGTTTTTAAAACCACATAGAGCGCTCTGGTATGCACGCGTTCAAAAACATGTGCATGTGAGAGGTAGACCGAATACGACTGAATATCGCTTTTGCCCTTTCAGTCCTCCCCCATTTGTGTCCCTCCGGCTCCTCTTTCGCATGTTGAGCAAATGCCGACCTCAGTGCATCTGATCGAGCTCTCCCTCCTGTGAAGACGATGATGATGATCTGTTCTCCTGTATTGACGTGTTTAACACACACATCCTCGTACCTTTTCCAACTCGAGGCGTTCGATTCAACCTGGAGTTGACCAAAACTTAGGGTTCGAAAATTTGCTCGACGTAGATCTATTGTTAAGCGCGATCGAATGGACTCGATCCAGGGGTCCCTGAATAGGATTATCCAATCTTGACAGGTTTAGTAACTCCTTGATCCACTCAATCGTTTTCAATGATTTGTACTGCACTGTTTAGCTGTGTTCACTAAATATGTTTTTTTTATTACACACCTAAGTGTGTTCAACAGCAAAGGGGGGTGAACCCATAGTCACGAGGACCTGCTTTTCAATGGTGGAAACCGGTAACCTAAGCCTCGGGACTTGGGTTGGCGAACCCGATAGGTTAGGCGTGGTATTGAACCGGACGACAGCAGAGCTGCCTACCACCAAATTCGGTGGCGGTGGCAGGACTCGAACCGTGGACCATATGGTCGAAAGCAGGCCACTGACAGCGAATAAACCATTGCGCCACCACCCGTATATATGTATATCACCACCGAATCATTATTGGAATCCCTCACCTCTAAAGGAACGGTGCACTGCCAGTTTCAGTACCGTGTGATCCAAATAGAGTCTACTGTTGCACATTGACACCCCTCACTCCGGTTTTCTTTTCCGATTTTTTCTTCATTTCACTCCTTTTAACATGTAATAAGACATTTTTCTGGAAGAACTAAACGGTCGATCAAAGGGCTGCTGTTTTAATCAGCTTTCAGCAAATCACCCTAGTTCGCTAAGCGAACACACTGTTTAATCGGCCACATCCAACCCACTGAAATTGTTCCTGCATACAATGTTTGTAAGGAAACCGGTCACGAGGATTGTTGTTTTACTGACAATTTTGTGCTCAATTAGAAAGTAATTGGAAGTGTGGAACCTTTTTATTTTTCGACGTAAGATATCGTTTTCCGCATGCTGAAGTTAATACTTAATGAACAACCTCCATTGTGAACCTGCCACGCCAATACTGCTAATGTTAATGGTGTGTGTTTTTGTGAACGTCTCTCCGTCGTCATTAGAAGTAAACGAATTAACGCGAACAAGCGCACGCCTGACAGTTCGATACTGTACCGATTGTGATGGTCTTCCTATCCCGACAAGTATCAGATTCGACTGTGCATTGATTTTGATCACGTCCGGGCGTCTCTCGGGTGGTTTTAGTGTGTGGTTCTCACAAACTTACACAATGCTAAATATATTGCCACGCATATGTCTGGTGTTTGAATAAGGTGTCCCTAGACAAAGACACATACAAACTGCAAGTATTTCTTTTTCCGAAACCTCCTGTGCTCCATTTATCATTTGGCTTCAGTTTCCATCTCTTGCACCTGGAGTTCGCCTCGGATTGGGGTTTTGACTGTAAGCCTCAGTATTGTCAAAGGTGGATATCCTGGTTTGTGACAGGTTGCCTCTTTCCCTTTCACCTCGCAGAGTGCTCCTTTTCGGCCGATGGTATCAAATAGCCTCTGCTAAGTAACTCCTTTTCGTTACCTTCATGTGGTGGAGTAGTTTTCCCACCAAATTGAACTAATGGTACTTTACCTAGACGAGCTGGAAAAACACCGATTTCTTACCAACCAGGAAAAGACGTAAAAGCCGTCCCACTCCTTCCTGATTCTGGCAATGATCGTCAGCTTGATTGATTTTCGCCATGTATTGAACACCTAGGACTTTTGACTCCGGATGGAAATCAGCTCCCAAGGATTGCGCTTATCACATACCGACCTTGCAGGTTAGGCTTTGGCTTATGTAACACTCAGATGGGGAATTCCCTCAAGAAACCTCACCTTCTTGGGACTGGTTAATCCGGCAGTATTTCATTCAAGAGCAAACGATGAGGCCGTTTCTTTGCACTGAAGAGTTTTGTTCCATTTTTCGTTTGGTACACGGTCTGAACGCAGACAGCGGTGTGAAATATCATAATAATAATAGCATCACTCGTCCGTGTACACATAACCCAACTTTGTATGGGCGGGGCAAAGTGCATATATCATGTGTTCTCAGCAATAACTCTGTTTTCGATGTGAAACGAACTTGAGTCTTCGTCATCGATTCAGCGTAACATTCTGCAGACCTCAAATCTCGTGTATCTTGTCATGTCCTGTAGCTCTCATTTCAGCCAAAGCCTGAATTATATTGTGAAACCCATTCATTGGTGCTATTGTGTATATTTGAACAGACAATGTGCCCACAGCGGAACGAAAAACGGTCGGAAGACAAGTAAAACCAGTGGTGAGCATAAAGCGTTGCACATTTCCGGACGACATCGAAGCTGCTTCTCGCCAAAGTTGAGTGTCGGTGGTTTGGGTTTCGAACCCCGAGCTTTACGACACAAACCGTGCTAGTGACGTCCACTTAAATCGTCCAACTACCACTACTTCCACCAGCACAATATGCCCTTCTGCTCATCGTGACTCTGTATCATTTCCACTCCCAATGGATGGTTATTTTTCCATTTATCACATTTCATTCCACTCTCGTATCCGTGCTCAGTTATTTTTGTCCGATTCGTGTGTCTCCGTTCGTGCGCGTTTTATTCCCCCCCCCCGCCGGTAGTTTTGACTGTGTGATTTGGACTTGCGTCTACACGCATATCCGACAAATATTTTCGACTGATTTTCGCGTCTTAATTACTGTCTCGTTTCGCACTCAGACAGACCATCGGTTTTCGCCTCGCGTCGAAGTGTGCGTGTGCGCACTTAAGCATTTGCCGGTG